CCAAAGATGGTGACACTCTCGAGCATGTTACACTGTTGGTCTCAAGCCACTACAAACTGAACTGAACTAAACTGAACTGAACTGAACTGACCTGAATTGAACTGAACTGAACTGAACTGAGCTGAACTGAACTGAACTGAACTGAACTGAGCTGAACTGAACGGAACTGACCTGAACTGAACTGAACAGAACTGAACTGAGCTGAACTGAACTGAGCTGAACTAAGCTGAAATGAACTGAACTGAACTCAGACCATCGTCAGTATTATCGGGCAGGAAACCAGAGGTGTTCGTATCTCTGTACAAAGTAAATGCTCGGTCTGGGTTTCCTTCGTCAAAATGATGCTGCTTGTACCATTTTTGTCCAATGATTCGCCATAAGGATGATCAAACGACAGTAAGAGAAATCATATAAGAAGCAATTACGTTCCCGTGCCCATCTGCCTGGATGATTAGGAAGAACAGAAGGCACAAGCAATCTATAATAAACAACACGAGCAGTGATGGAAGCCTTCAAGTGGTCTGACAATAAATTGAATTCTAAACGCTTGATTTGCCCTGGATATTTGCTCGAAACTAAATTCTTCCCTTAGAACTGAAATGGTTCCGTTCGCGAAAGTGGAGCTCTGTTGACTGTCTTCTATTAATTTCCTATTCAAAATACTAAATTGGATACTCTCGCAATATTTCAGCCTAAAAACACATCCAACTTGTTTAACTGCTTGTTAAGGTCGAAACTTGTTTTAGTGCATCAATTCTGTTCGACACTCGCCGGTTGTGCACTCTGCCCGCCCCAATCATGTCCGGTGCTCGCGTGTTTTTCGATATCGCTGCCGATGGTTCGCCATTAGGTCGTATTATTTTCCAGGTAATGTCATTTTGCCGATCTCTAATTTTCGCAGCTCTACTCAGATGTCCCAAAAACTACTGAAAATTTCCGTGCACTGTGTACTGGCGAGAAGGGCTTCGGATACAAGAACTGCGTTTTCCACCGGATAATCCCCCAGTTCATGTGCCAGGGAGGTGACTTTACGAACGGAAATGGCACCGGTGGAAAGAGCATTTACGGTTCCAAGTTCGAAGACGAGAATTTCATCCATAAACATACCAAGCCCGGTCTCCTCTCCATGGCGAACGCTGGCCCGAACACCAATGGCTCCCAGTTCTTCATCACAACCGTACCTTGCTCCTGGTTGGACGGCAAGCACGTTGTCTTCGGTGAAGTGGCTGAGGGTATGGATGTTGTCAAGAAGATGGAGGCCCTCGGTTCCTCGTCTGGTAAAACATCGAAGAAAGTCACAATATCCGATTGCGGTCAGCTGTGAGACCACGGCTTTGATCTATCTTTGACTGTTGAATAAATCAATGTTGCGTCGATTAAAATCGCAGTCCACTGGGTCCTCCCGATGGTTGGGTGACGTATTCATTATTTCAGTTTCGTTAAGCGATATCAAACGGTATTACGGGAGTGATCTTTGGTCCTGTGCACCCGACTATATTTCATTGGGCTTGCGCTACTCGTATGCGTATATTTAGAGTACGATTTGTCTGCTACTCGCCGCGGTTCGGGGATCATGCGTTCTGTGGTTCAAACCGTCGACAGGCGTGAGCGGTACCTGGGCTGCTTATTTCAGGGTCGGTAGTGTCTGAAGCGAGTTGTTTCCAAGTGGGTTGATCAATATTTGCGAGGTTTCGATGTATGCCTCGGGTAGTTCAGAATGTGGAGTTCAAATCCGGTATTTCGGTTTATTCGGGGTTTTGGCCAATGAATGAGGCTGAGTATTTGTTGGCTCGGGATGGGACTGACATACACGGTGTGCCGTAAGCACCCTTGGTGGCGGCTCGTATTGGGCTGCGCATCGTTCCCACTCCCAGTGAGTAAGTTTTTATCTTCGGTCTTCTTCGCTTTTATAAAATTGAATAGCAGAAGTGGAGCAGCGAGAAAGGGGAAGCTTGCCTGCCGGTCAACTGTGCAGCGAGGTAGGGTGCTATGTTTGCCTAGTTAGGTTTGATTTCCTAAGGTGCGGGCGGTGCCCACCCGAATTGGACGGTGAAGTCCTCTTGGTTCACAGGAAAGCCAGTTAAGGTATGTTTCACTTTCATCGAAGACAGCCTTAATAGAGTGCTCTGGGCAGTTGACGGACATAGAATGATAGGGACGCATGCGTGTCGGCACATCAGTTGACTGTTGCTGCAATAACACTTGGAACGATTAACTCGTCCTCACCAACTGCTGACATCCGGGTGGTGTTGACTACTTTGTCTTGGCAATTTACTGCTTTCTAACTCCTGGGGACCGTACTTGGTTTTTTCGAACCATCGGTTTCATTGACGCAAGCGTTACATGTGTACACGGATAGCACCACCACTACCAAATGCAACAATCTGCGGCCGACCAGCTTTCATAGTAGGACTGTGACGGTATTTTCTTGGGTGCACGTTTTTTCTCTGTCTACGCTGCCCCCGTGTTGTAGGCCAGATATGGGATCGCTAGTTACACGTTCCGGCTGCTTGAAATGGAGTCGGGTCTTTTGGAACCAAGTCGAGATTTACTCCATAAACCAAGCCTGTCCCTTGTGGTTTGTACATGGAATGATGAGGTTATTTTCGTC